ACAAAATCTCCAAACTTATATGGAGCAATTTGTACATATTTTTCCTTCCCTTCTTGAGAAAGAAGAGAAAGCTTTGTTCTCTAATGTAAACAAATCCCCTCTGGAAAGTGTACAGAAAGGTCCCTAAGTTGCTTCAACTCTTTAAAATGTAAATGAATAGGTCAGAAATTGATTACCTGTTGTTATGTAAATGAATGGCTCTAGAGATGATGAATTTGTAAATTTCCCTAGGGTTTTTATCTTTAATTTCCAAGACTTGTTTGTCTCTTCCTCATTTTTTTTTAACTTGGGTTGCCAGTACATTTTGCCTAGAAAGTCATGATCATGCAAAAATGTAAAAACAGTCACATTTTGTTTTAACACAAATTGATCTCTATACTGATGGTGTTATATTTATGGCAAATAATGATTTTCTCAGTACATAATTATTAAACATGTAGTAATGCTAATATACAGGATAAGGCAGTAAACAAGGGAGGGAAAATATCTTTGCCCTCTAGACATAGGGAAAACAAATAAGCAAAACAAATGGTAACTTAATAATAAAAGCCAAGGGAAAAAATAATCAAAGAAACATTGAAATCATGGGGACTTTGGGATTTTCGAGAGGATGTTCAGAGAAGTTCACATTAATGAGAAGATAGTATCTGAATGAAGAATCTAAAAAGGAGAGTGTGAACCTTGACAATGACAGAGAGAAGACGATTAGGGAGCAGGACCAGTGAAAGCAAAAGCCTTAAGCTGGAATCATGTTTGGCTATTCAAGAAACCACAAGGATAGTAGCATAGCGAGGACAGAGAAAGTAGAAGAGAGACTGGCTATGATAGAGAATATTCACAGTCAGGTCACTAAGTAAATTAATTTAATATATAATTGAATGCTAATATATTGCATATGTTATGCAGTAAAATTAGGAAAGGTATCATGGAGGGATTGGAAATTGGATTCCTTCCATTAAAAAAAATACATTTTATATATAGAGTAAGGATTGCATAGGAATTTAGGCAAAATCTCTGTGGCTAAAATCCCTAAGATATTACCAAATTTTACCCTTTTTATCTTTAGCAGAGATAATTAGCAGAGACAATTAACATGACTGCCCAACTAGAATACATGTCTCTCCCTTTTCTATAATTAGGTGTGGACATAGCTACATTATCACAAAAGGCAAGTATGTAGAATTAAGTAAGCTTGAGACAAATGGAATGGCCTGTTCCTCAATATTGTCCACCACGCTGAATCTAAAACACAAAATTGCAAGTGCTCCTGCTTTCTCTTTTCTGCCCTTCCTCCTTTTCACCTTTCTTTTTCAATCCTCTCCCTCTTCCTTCCTCTTTTCTTCTTCCTTTACTCTTTCCTCATTTTCTCCCACAAATGATTCATCCACTTCTACATGTCAGGCACTTTACAGGGTGTCTGTGATTCAGCTGTAAGTCAAACCAGAATCTCTCTTACCCCAATGGATCTTATACTCACGTACATGAAGAGATTATTATTAAAAAAGTTTCAGATATGAGTGTTACATTCCAACTTGTATAACAGGTAATAAAGAAGTATCATAAATTAAAATAATAATGAGGGAAATATGGCTGTGTAATATAGTGCTTAAAAAAAGTTCTATCAGTTTCTGAAATTTCAAAGCCATATAACATTAGGTAAGTTACACAAACTTTGAAAATTTGAGCTTCTGTTTTAAAAGAATATAAAGGGAATGTTTCATGTAGTTGGCAATTGGGTTTATAAAAAATTTTAGCCAGTCTAAGGATGATAACGATGATGCATGTGAAGTTTATGTAAAATGCTCTGAAACAACATTCTGTGAAGCATAGTGAGAGCTTAATGAATTTGAGCTATGGATATTTTGAATTACTAATTATTTGACCTTGGCAGAATCATTATGGAAGATGTCCTGAGGATGCAGTGATGTGCTGAGAATTTGAGAGTAGGAGTTTAAAGTAATGTTATATTCACAAAGAAAGAATAAAATATACAAGACCACATGTCTAGAGATCACAGACTTTTAAAAATAATTCGTGCTTTTAAATTCATACTTTGTTTTTAACAAATTCAAATGCCTTCACAGGAAGGGTAAGAACCATAACTATGTGAAAAACTGAGCCATCACCTAAGTAATAATACTTTTAAAAAATTAATAAGAATAATAAATAATCAAAAGCCTAGAGTCAACTTCCACGTCCTAATTTAAAGGTGAAGCTATAAGGAGACTTCAAAAATTCATGGAAAAATTGACATAAAATATAAAAATAAAAATATCAACTTTATTTCTCAACAGAAGCTCCATTAAGTTCAAAACACTTTTATAAGTGATTCCAAATATTTAGTCCCTCCATAAAGAAATGCGAATCCTTGGAATTTAACCATGTCAATGCAGTCTTCTTAAAATATTATTAAATAAATAGATGGCTGCTCTTTACATAATTTTAAAATTTTAGGAAACACAAAAATTGTCAGAAGGAACCAAATCAGGACTGTAGAGTGGATGCCTAATAATTTCTTGTCGAAATTCTCACAGTATTGCCCTTGCTTTAGGAGAAGAATAAGCAGGAATATTGTCATGGTAGTGAAGCTTTGTTGAGTGTTTCTCTGATAAAGCTTTGGCTAACTTTCTCAAAACACTCTTATAATAAGCAGATGTCATTATCCTTGGCCCTCTGGAAACTCAACAAGTAAAATGCCTTGAGCATGCTGAAAACCTGTTGCGAGGACCTTTGCTCTTGACCAGTCTGTTTTTGCTTTGACTGGACCACTTCTACCTGTTGGTAGCCATTGTTTTGATTGGACTTTGTCTTCAGGATTGTACTGGTGAAGCTTTGTTTCATCTCTTGTTAAATGGTTAAAATAATTGCTTCAAGATCTTGGTCTCACTTGGTTTAAAATTTCCATTGAAAGCTCTTCTCTGGTCTGCAGCTGATCTCAGTGTAATTATTTTGGCACCTATCAAGTAGAAAATGTTCTCAATTTCAATTTTTCAGTCAGAATTATGTAAGCTGAACAAGTTGAGATATCTATGGTGTTGGCTATTTTTTCTGTTTTTGGTCATCTGTCTGCTTCAATTAGGACCAAAAAGGGATTAATTTTTTTCCTTGCAAATTGGTGTAGATGTTCTGCCACTGCAAGCTTCATCTTCAACATCATCTCTTCTCTTCTTAAAGTTAGCTATCTGTTGTAAACTGCTGATTTATTGGGGGCATTTTTTCTATAAAATTTTCTCTCTCTTTTTTTTCTTCCGCAGGATAGAAAATATGGGAAAATTTCCCACTCACTTTATGAGACTTTTATAACTTTGGAATCAACTTTATGGGGACTTTACAATTCAGGAAAATTACAAGCCAATTTTATTAATGAATGCATGTAAAATCCTACATAAAATATGAAGACATCAAATGTACCAATTTATAAAAGGGAAACTGTGATGGACATTACCCAGAAACCTTTTATAAAGTATTAATGATGTCATCATTCTTCCACCTAAGGATTACTATAAATTTCTGTTTGTTCTTTCTTCAATTTTCACAGAATTCATGTTGCTCTGATAGGGCTTTTTTTCAAACCAGTGTCCTCTCCTTGGTACCTCAAACTAGATCATATTGAGACAAGTTAGGAAAAGTTGCAACCAGCCGGGTGCGGTGGCTCACGCCTGTAATCCCAGCACTTTGGGAGGCTGAGGGGGTGCAGATTGTCTGAGCTCAGGAGTTTGAAAACAGCCTGGGTAACATGGTGAAATTCCGTCTCTACTAAAATACAAAAAATTAGCCTGGCATGGTGGCAGGTACCTGTAATCCCAGCTACTTGGGAGGCTGAGGCAGGAGAATTGCTTGAACCCAGGAGACGGAGCTTGCAGTGAGCCGAGATCACGCCACTGCACTCCATCCAGGGCGACAGAGAGAGACTCCATCTCAAAAAGAAAAAGAAAAAGAAGAAGAAAAGAAAAGTTGCAACAAGTTAGTATAAGTTTATTTTGGTACAAAAAATGTTTAAAATTGATACTTTTTAAATAATATCTGTTTTTTATGAACATCTTGAAGAACCCTAGTTTGAGAAGGAAGAAAGAAATATTACATGGAAACATTCACTCAATTCAAAAATAATGACTATTAAGCAAAGGTTCTATGAGAAAGGTACTATTAATTTGTAACGATAAAGAGCCGATAGGTCATCTTATATTTTTAAAACTGAGGGGACAACAAGAAAGTGTACCATAGAGCTATTATAGCACATTCATGAAAAAGAGAATCAGAATTTAAAAGGACAATATTGGCAAAGAGTACTTATTACACTTCATGTTTGTGACCAAGATTTATCAATAGAAAAGTACTCTTATTTTACCTAAAACTTTTTATGCTCAGAGATCTTGACTAGGTTATATTTGCAATTTTCATAAAGACAGCCAAGTAAAACATTTATGGGGAAACACTGTACTCTGGTTTCAACGTTTCAGCTAAAGTCAGAAACACTATACTTCAGTAAAGTACACTTTAATTAAAATTTAAAGAGTTATTGAACTCAATATCTGATCGATTAAAGTTGGCAAAAGTCAGAAAGTATTCGGCATGGAAAAGCTCCCTTTAATGGTCAGATGTAGTGAGGCATTTTTTAAGTGTTTTAAAATAACCCCTGGGAATACCATCACTAGAAATACCCACTGGAGTATTTAATGAGTAAGCAAATGCCACATTTCTGGGTACCTACAAAAAAAATCTCGCTTTCAGAGACGCACAAATTATGCATCTTATTAATGTACAGAAATAGATCTACAAATGGGCAATCCGAAAAAAACTGAAAATCCTCAAAAAGCTAAGTTCTGAGGAGAAAGGAGTATATTTCGGGCAATAGTAAATAACTCCTTAAAAGAAGTAAATCCAGTCCTCAAAGCAAAAGGGCGAGTCTGAAAGCAAGAGCCCCAGAGAAAGACGCCCGAAGGAAGTCACAGATAGAGGAAGTGACTGTGGGTTTAGATGAATGGAAAGTGAACTTACCAGTTCACAGCTATGTCCTTCCCAATTTGGGAGGTTAAGGGCAGGAAGAACATGAGAAACTCTTTTGAGAAGCTGCATAAGCTGACATTGAGGATCAAGGATTTCAAAAGCTTTGAATATAAAGAGGTGAGGGGTTTATTTTTTTTTCTTTTTACTATTATTCTGGTCTGTTGGTTGAGCTCTGAGGTTAGCATCTTACAACACTTTAAAGTAAAACTAAAACAAACACATTATTTTTAAAATTGGCCATATCCGGAGCCCAGAAAAATATTAAAAATAGTAACGTGTCCTTTCGGACACCTCATAAAAATTTGGGGAAGAGATGTATGGAAATAGCTTTTCAACACTTGGCAAATAGAATAGGTTTCAGTTACATCAGATTATAGTTTTTAGTCTGACAGTTTGTGTCTGGATATACGACGGATTAATTTTATTAAGTTTGTTGGAAGAGCTATTGAAACAACAGGTTTCAATTATTTTGTTCTCACTGAAATCTGCTTCACAAAATGGACCACTGAAATGAGAAAAATTGTTTCAGTTTATTTTAATGTGATTTCCTGAGTCGAGGGCATTTTCTACATATATATGCAGAAAGTCTAGTAGTTGCTTATGAATACAGCATTACTTTTCAACTATTCTATTAAAATAACATTATCTTAGATTTCAATAACATGTAATGTGCATGTATTATACACATGAAAAGTCAATTCACATGGTCACTCACACGAAAGTGAATGAATGTATCATTGTTCTCTGCATGTGGTGCCCAGGGAATCACATGAAAATGTACAAATTGTCATAAATGGAATTTCCCATCACTGCCTTCTTAGCATAAAAATGATGTGGTGATTATAGTGGTAAACCTAATAAAATTGTCAGAGATCTAATGTGACATATCACTAACCATTTAAGGTACAAAATAGCTGTTGATAAGATATTTGGAAATGGATATGGCATGATCATAATACAGTAATTACAAATATTGCTACAAATTACAATTTTTAGAATTTAAGATATTTCATTAACACTAAACAGGCTTCAAATGCCTACTGAACTGATAAATCCCATTACCAACTGATTTGTTTCAATATGATGTGTTCATTGCTTCCATTTGGGTCTATTAATAACTCACAGAGCTAAGAAGTATGGGCTTTCCTTGCATCTTTATTGTACTCAAACTCTTTATTCCCTGGAAGATAGTTAAGGTAAAACACTATTAATTTAATACCAATTTAAATTTTGCTTTATAACATTTTCAGTGTATATGAGAAGGTAAGTTCTTTATGGACTCTGAGTTAAAATGAAATTTTCAGATTTCTAAGTTTATTATTGTTATTTCAAAAATTACGATTAAAATCATGCCATAGAAACCAAACTTAAGAATCATAATGTTCTAATATAAAAAGAAGGAAAACAAGGGAACAGGTGATTGAGCTGACCATAGACTATCACACAAGTGGAAAGTAAAAGCTCATGGCAGTGTAGAGATAGAACTTGTCAAAGCGGTGGCTGTTCTGTGTGTCATCTTCTTAAATAGATATGAGCTTGGAATTCACTTGTTAGTGATATTCATTTCTAAAACTATCACAGAACACCGAAGTTAGAAGATTAATTTGGTTGTGATCCCAAGTTCATTGAATAGCATTTTATCTTACTGTGTGTATAAGTAATATGATAATGGTGATGGTCAAAATAGAAACCTTGCTTGATGCCATGCATGGTGCTAATAAGATAGGAGCATTATTTTATGTAATTCTAACAATCTTAGGATGTAGTTATAACTATTATATCACGTTTTTATTTATGAATTTAAGTGATATTATTAAGTAAATTTGGTCTGCAATTTTATAGATGGTACAGCTATCATAAATTAAACCAGTAAGCTCCTTGGAGTTGTAGAGTTTATTCAGGTTTAAAAGTGAGCAAAAACACACAAAAATAGTAAATGAGGAAATGGAGAAAATATTGTTTTGGAAAGATTGGGTAAGTCAACAGACGTAATAAGCAGACATTTTTCTAAAACAGGGATATTTAAACTGATTTCTGAACTTTCGAATCAGTCATCTGCACAAAATGCTTGTGGGGATAATTTCAGGCAAATGGAACAGACTGCAGTTATCATGTTGTGAAAAGTAAGTGTATATTTTTGACAAATCAAAGATACAGGGGATAGTAAGAGAAATCTAATGTCTGGATGACCAGAAGAAAAATACAGAATGTAGAATAATTTATAGTTAATGAATAGATAAAGGTTCAGAATGTTTCTATACTAATGAAATAAATGAAAACGATAAAAATATAAGAAATCCACAAAACTCTAAGCAGCATGAAACATGTAAATCTACCACTGTTATTTCTGCAGAAAGCAAAGGCAAATAGGAGATATTTTAAAAGCCAGAAACAAAAAGATAAATAATTCTAACGCTGAAAATGCTGTATACTGAATGGAGTCTTCCATGTAATAAAAAAAATACTACCTATAATAATACCCTTTTGTAATTAAGATAAAATGTATACATTTGAAAGCCAAAAGAGAGAGGGAAGAGAACAGAGAGGATAAGAAGGAGAAGGAGGGAGAGAAAATTAGTAACCATCATAATTATACTGAAGGAAATACTAGAATGTACTGTTCAGGCAGGTGAAAAGTTAAAGATAAATATTCTATGTTTAAATAAATTTTGCCTATATAAAACCAAAAGAGCAATATTATTTAAAATTTATAACATAGAACCTAATTAAGGCACAGCAAAGTAATAGGATATTCTTGTGGAGGGGGAAAAGGAGACTAAAAGGGCAGTTCATTGTTTAGAGAAGAATAAAAAGTAGTCAGCAATGTAAGACTCTTATAAGTCTGAGATACTTTAATGTGTTGAAGTTCCTCATGAAACCATTACTATTAAATGGTAATAAAATACCATGTATAACATCGAAACAAATAGAAGCAGAAGAAACAAAAAAAGATACAGAATCAGGAAATGAAAGAGAGAAAAAATATATCATTAGAGAAACAAATAGAAAGCACTTATGTTTATATATAATTATGTTTTATACATATAAGCATAAATATGTATGTATATATACACACACATATATATGTAATTACATTAATTGGCCAATGAAAAATACTTTCAAAATGGAAAAAGTTATTTAGAAGAGAAACACTTAATCATAACCACAGGAAATTTGCAAATAAAAACAATGAAAAAGAATATTCCAATCAAACATTAACCTGTATTAATGCCAGATGAACTAATTTTAAGAATAAAATACATTGCTAGAGATGAATGAAATGTTTAATATTGATAATAAAATCAATTCCTAAAAGGTTGTAAGAAATATATAAGAAGTTAATAATACTAATTTAAAATGCAGACTCCCTAATTTACAGAAAACCAAGGGGAAATAGACAAATCTACAATTTCAGCAAAATATTTCTTAATAGCTAATAAAATAATAAAATAGCAACAAATTTCAAAATGTCAATGTACGGTTTTTGTTCATAAGTTAATTGATAAATCAGTAATAAAAGATAACTAGATTGTCCTTACAAACTTGGAAATCAAAGACTAAACAATCCATTACCTATAAATTCACCATAGAATTAGAAAATATCTTTAACTGAATTATACCAAAGTAATACAGGTGATGACTTGAGGAATGCACCAAAGCAGTATAAAGACAAAAATACATAGCAGTAATGACCAGTAATATGTACGCAGCATAAATGAGAACATTAATCTATCCCATCTATCTCAGAAAGTTAGGATTTTAAAAATTGACCTGTAGAATGCAGAAAGAAGGAAATGATAACGATGAAAGCAAAGTAAAGAAACAGGAAAAAACAAAGCACACAATGGAGAGAATGAATAAAATAAAAAATAATAGTTATTTGGAATGGTTTTAAAATGTATAAAAATCTGGTGTGGTTAAATATAACCACATTTTTACCTCCCATTTTTTTCCTTCAGAAAGAACACATGTAAGGTTTTTCTTTCATGGGATTAAATCAGTGACAAGATTCTCTTTCTCCCTCTGTCTCTTTCTATCTCTGCAATACCTATGTTTTCTAACTCTGTCTTTTTCTATCTCACCAATACTTATGTTTTCTAAATGGAACTGGCACTGTTTTGTGCCTGAAACCTTCTCATTTTAAAAATGCACTGGCGATGTATCCTATCTGAGCCACTAATGCCTGGAAGCCAGATAAGAGAATGAAAAAAAAGTTATTGATTGATTGGTGGACAGTGAGTAGGGAGGAAGGAGATAGATGGGAATGTTAATTCTAGTTAATAAACATGAATTCTGGAAACAATGACAAATAGAGAATGCTTTGGCCTGGCTTTGTTTTATGCAAGAGTTAGGCCTGGTTTTACCTTTGGATGTACCTTACGCTTGCTGAGCAACTGCAGTTCATAATTATTTCTCCTCCTTACAGAGAAAGGTTTAAATTAGATTTTTCATGAAGTGATTTCTAGGCCTAAAGCTCCATGAAATAAGCTAAACTCATTTTTAAGTGTGTACAGCATGTGCATGTTGAGTGTCCTCAAATTACTAGTTATATTACTATGGTCAATTATACTTGGCAATTGTGCTTAATTGAAGGTGAAAGCACATTAGGTTTTTAATTTAAAAGCCATAGGTAAAACCACTCTAAAAATCCTATTTGGATCTCAGACCTGGTGATGCTTTTCACTATAGACTGGGATTTTATGGTACATTAACCTGTTCATTCACATAATTAGAACAATAACCGAATGAGCTGTTGTATTGGGTAATACATGATAGCAATTCCATTCATCTCTACTAAGATTTAGATTATGAACATGAAACCACCTTTGAAGAAATGCAGAGAAAAATATATGCATAAAACATATGTGGTGGCTCATGCATGTAATCCCAGAACATCAAGAGGCCAGAATGGGAAGATTGCTTGAGGCCAAGAGTTTGAGATCAGCCTGAGCAATATAGTGAGATACTGTCCCTATCAAAAATAAATAAATAAATAAATAATAAAATTAGCTGGGCATGGTGGTGCACCTGTTATCCTAGCTACTCAAGAAGCTGAGGTGAGAGGCTTGCTTAAGCCCAGGAGTTCCAGGTTACAGTGAGCTATTATGTCACTGCAC